GGAACTATGAACGTTTCATTTTGTATTATTTAACATGAATAAATAAATAAATAAATTCGCTTATTTGTGTTGTTTTATATACACAATTGAATTGAAAAAAAACAATTTTATACAGTAAAACTTCTTAAGAGCGGTACTTCTGAATAGCGAGTTCTCTCAAAGGGGGGAAATTTTAAGACTAAAACTATAAAATAAAGTTCTCTATCGAGCGATATTTAAAGTTTGATTGGCTAAAAATGCCCTCTCTTGAAAAAAACAAAAATTACCACACCCTCCCGCTCTTGGGAGGTTTTACTGTAATCTAACATTAGTACAAAAACATATGATACAATTAATTGAATAGCTCATTAGAAATAACAAAAACGGTATTCAATGTTAAAATGTTTTTTAAGAAAAAAAATTATTTGGGTAACAGTAAAACACATTCTTAAAAAAACAATTTGCTCAGAATTATTTACAAAAATAATATAATGGCACTTGATTCATTATAACCCATTTTATTTGTTTAGTTTTTCAAATCTTATTTTTAATTATTTAAAACTAGTTACATACAAATAATAACATTTAGAATGGTTAATTCTTTATTAATAATAAAAGTCACATATTGGAGACTATATTTTGGGTTTTATTTTTTGAAACCAGTTCCCAATATATTGATAATAGACCGAATTATACAAAAGCTGTTAATTTTTATATTCTCGAATTTTTTACTATTATTTTTAATAATAAAAACACAAAAGTAACATTTGGAACATATAATCATTACAGTTAACAATTGATTTGAATTCAATATTATAACAACTAAAAAACTTAAATACATTTTAAAGTATGATTGTTATATATCTCATAGTTTTATTTATTGTAAAAACGCACACACAAAAATGTCCAGAAAATTACACTTTTTACAAGCAAGTAAATTACAATAGTAATTGTCGGACTTCTTCAGATATAATTGTTGGTATTAAAGGTGATTATACTAAAATTCTGTTTGAAATGTCTGATAATTCCAAATTATATACAGACTCAAGCTTAATTATAACAGGAAAGGGGTTAATAGTTATGTTAACAGAATCAGAGTTAATTGTTAATTATCAAGTTTTGATTAACCAAGAAGGCCAATTAATTCTTAACACCAAATCCAATTTTTCAACTTTTGGTACAACCACTTTAGATGATAAATCTCAAATATCAATAACAGGAAATTCAAAAGTCGAAATAATAAATGACACTTTATTCAAAGGTAACTCCATTTTGAAAATGAAAGGTAATTCTTCTTTTAATTCAACTGGTAGAATGGAATTGTTTGATAATTCAAAAATATTATTGACAGAAAACAACAAGCTATATTCGTCTGTTATTTTATACTTTCATTCAACTTCGTCGTGTGTTTTAAGTCATTCATCTATCGTGTTTGCAAAGCAAATTAATACTGCCGATAAAGCTCAAATTATCATAAATAACAGGAGTGAAATAAATGTGATGGATTCCATTTATCATTATGAAAGTGCACTATTTACAATGAATAATAATTCTGTATTCAAAATAACAAACAATGCTATATTTAGTCTAAATGCCGTGTTTGAAATGAACCATTATTCGAATTTAACAGTGGGCTCAATAATACAATTATTAGATAATTTCAATTTCTTCATGAAAGGTAATTCTGTTGTTACAATAAAAAGTGAGCTGAAAACAACTGGAACTTCTATGTTTTCAATGAAATCAAATGCTTGTTTAAATTCAACGGGAGATGTTATTGTTGTTGATAATTCAAATTTAATAATGGAAGATTATTCAATAATTGAAGTTGGCAACCTTCTCAAACTTGATGATTTTGGACGTCTTCAAATGAGTTCATTTAGTATCATACAGGGTATCAAAGGACATATTTTAATAGCAAACAATTCGGTTGTTTCTTTAACAGATTCTTCAATTATTTTGACTCGAAATTTTTCTTTGATAAAAGGAGGTAAAATAAAAATAGAAACAGAATTTTCCATTAGAACAATGAGTACTCAAAACATTATGTGTAATGAAGGTATATTTGAAATTGTCGGTGGTATGTATATAGAGACAAACAATGGCATTTCGATGTCCAATTGTATATTTGATGTGGCCAAAAGAACAATTTATGATATTCCTTTAATTATAACCAATGAAATTTATTCTTTTGATTGTAATATAAAAAGCGAAGAAAGTTTTGACGTTGTTTATTCAAAAACCCCGTTTAGTTTTAAACCTCCTGAAGGTATGTTAAGTTTAATGGACAACAAATTATTAAGGTTTGGAGACTCGATAACGGTATATTGTCACTTAATAAAATACAATGAAATAACAAAAGAAATTATATTTGCTGAATCATATTGTCCCTGTTCTAACAAATACTGCTATATGACTCCATTGACAAATATTTCAGAGATGTTATTTGATTATGACAATAAGGGTATAACAGAAAACTATATACCAGGAAATAATAAAATAACAGAAGATTATGATACACAAAGTGCTATTATAGGAACAAATCAATTTTCTTTTTATTTTGTAGACAAATTTGTTATGACTATTAAATCAAAACAAATGATTCAACTTCAGACAGTTAAATTAACAAAGCAAATTTTATTCATTGCAGAGAATTATATGGTAAATCGAACTATATTTTACACTTCTGTTGTTTACTCGTATAAAGGTTTTAAAATGCTAACCGGAATTTATTGCAAAAGTGGATATTATTATAATAAAACTTTATTTGATTGTGTAAGTTATACTGATTGTTTATACCCAAATTGTTTGGATTGTTCGATTGATAGAAAGGTATGTCTTTATTGCCAGCCAAATTATATTTTAATCAACAAAAAATGTGAAGCAATTACAAACTGCCTTTATTTGACTAAAAACCGTTGCTTAAAATGCAGAGAAGGATTTCTGCTTAAAGAAGGACATTGCACGTATTCTGATTGTCAAATATACAAAAATAAAAATTCTTGTCTTCTTTGTAACACAAATAAAGATATGATTAATGTTAATGGGTTATGTACTAATTACAGTTCAAACGTGGAGATGACAAGTTCAAAAAGTGTTACTTCATGTAGTAAAGGATTTATCACAAATTCAACTTATTGTGTATCTTGCAAATCACTCTATACATTAAGTGAATTGTGTGATAATGGTCACCCCACAAAATGTATCTCAAACACTGAAATGACAAAAGATTATCAATGTAGAAATAAAGTGTGTCAAACCATTAATGACAGTAATGGAATGTGTACAAATTCAATTAAAAATTGTGTATTTATGACAAATACTAAATGTCAAGAATGCAATTCAGGTTTTATTCTTTCTAATAACTCGTGTGTTAAAAATGATATAAACTGTTTAAATTCATCTAAATATGGTTGTTTAAGATGTGTTGATACTTATTATTTCAACAATTCAAATAAAAGATGTGAAAAGTGCAATGAAAATTGTCAAACTTGTATGACTTTTTCGACCAAATGTTTAAGTTGTAAATATAACGAATTTCTAACCAATTCAGTTTGTAAGAAAACAGAAGAGTTGGTGGACAAATGTGTTCATTTATCTCCAACAGGTGGATGTGTAATTTGTTCATCTGGATATTATAGATATGGGTTTGATTGTGTTGAATGTGATATAAAGTGTTCCACGTGTAATTACAAAAATGGTTGTTTAACATGTAACGAAACCAATTATCAAACAACAGATGGAAACTGTTTGCCACAAAGTAGTATTAATGGATGTCTGGTTAACGTAACACAAAATGGTTGTGCAATATGTTCTAATCATTATTTTAGAGTGAATTCAAATGAATGTCAAAAATGCAGTGAAAATTGCAAAAAATGTTCATCTGAATATTTTTGCACTTCTTGTGAAACAACCAAAGTTTTATTATCAGATGGAAGTTGTCGAGGGATTAATGAAATCAAAAAGTGTATTGAAATAATCAATTCAAAATGTACAAAATGTTTGTTTTTGAATTCACCAAACAAGGATGGCGTGTATTGTGAGAAAAAGGCGTTATGGTGGTTTGTTTTGATTGTGATTATTGCGTCTATTTTTGTTCTTGTCATTATTGGACTCATGATAACAAAATTTACTCGGAAAATATTACACATTTTCTATTCAAAAACATTTGAGAAAAAGACTTTATTTGAAATGAACATTTCGAATATTTCTTTTATTTTAATGAAAGGTGGGATTTCTGTATCATCAAAAGAAATAGATTTTAATTTGGAAAAAGATGAGATATTAGTTAATGAAGAAACAAGAAACATTTTATGTGTTGGAAATACAAGTAAATGTGTTCAAAAAGTCCAACTTTCAGTTTCTTCAAAAGTTGAAAAAATTTCAATTCGTGTAGACCCCGAAATAGTTTCACTAAAACGAGGTATTGCTTGTGAATTTTCTATTTATATTAAACCAATATGCACATGTCTAATAAAAAACAATTTACAAATAATTTCCAAAAATTTATCAACTGGTGAAGAAAGGTTTAATGAAATTACTATGATAGGAGTGACTGAACAAACAACAAAAATAGATTACGATGAGTTGATAGAAGATAATAAAATTGGTGAAGGGTCATTTGGAACTGTATATAAAGGAAAATTCAGAAGTTTTGATGTCGCAATAAAAAAAATGAAAAATACGTGTGATGATGATAATTCACTGAAAGAATTTGAGAATGAAGTATCAATGCTTGATAAATTTA